TTCAAGGGACTGCGCCGGAATCCAGTTTGAGTTTCCAGGCACTGTCTCAGCTGGGCTGTCCGCACCACAAGACAGACGCGCTGACCTGGCCGGCCCGGAGCTGCTCTTACAGAAGGGGAAGAGCAACATGCCCAGGAATGGTCAAGTCTGAATCCTCAAAGTTCAACATAGGTCCTTCTGACCTTCTTACCACGTCCCTCCAGATGCACCCAGGAAATGGCCTTTTTAGAGACAGCTGCCTTCCGTGAGCAAACTGCTCGACAAAAGTGTGTGGCCCGGGAGGGGGAGCACGGGAGGCAGAGTCAGAACCCTTTCTGAGTTGATTGTTGAGGAGACACTCCAGTGCTGAATGATTTCAGATGCCAGTGGATGGACGAGAATGTGGAGGGTCTGCTGAACACCCTGACTGCCCGCTGTCCGTGTTGGGGAGCTTCTGTGATGGAAGGTGTACCCTGGTCGGGCTGGAAATGGTCCAGGGAGCCGAAGACAGCACACAGATCCGTTTCAAGGGCCACAGTGACGTGCCTCGAGTTGGCTGATTGGGCTGGAACAGCAGCTCCATAACCTGAAAAAGTGTCCACAGGGGTGAGGTGCCACCAGCAGCCCCAAGCGGCTGTCCAAGATAGGACGGAGTTAATCTGCCGTGAGCAGGCCGGGCGTGCCCTGTGCAGGCGAGGCGACCTCCTTCTGTGCCGGCGGCCAGCCCTTGGCTGGCAGGCAGTCACAAGCCTCGCATGCGGTGGGAGCTTCTGCACCAGGGACAGTTTTTCATTTGTGCTCGGTCCACAATGGGCAGGGACGTGTGTCCCTGTGCCCAGCACAGCGATCCCCGTGGGGCAGGTGGGGCAATCAGCGGCCTTAGCCTCGTTGGTCTCACCAGAACACAGGCTTCTATCATGGGCGTCGACCAGCCAGGATTGATTTCCACAGCCCATGGCCCATAGAGGGGTGTCTCTAATCTGCCAGTTTGAGGTTTTCTAAGTGGCAGACCGAACAATGTGTCTTTGGCAACAGCCCAAGAGTCAGTAAAAACATGCCAAGGTTTGCCAGCCGGAGTATTGATCGGCGCAGGGCTCCAGGGCTGGCCCTGAGGTCGACCCGCTGAGCGGTCACATCCATTTTCAGTTCCGGGTAGCGCTGCTGAGGGTGAGCAGCACAGCAGCCAGGGAGGCACCATCAGCTCTCCACATAGGTGACCCACTGGTGAACCAGGCCCAGGCATTTCAGGAACTTGAGCTCACTGTGGAGCCAGTGGCTTTGCTTTGGTGGAGTTGGAATGTGAGTTTCCCCTAAAGGATTAGCTGCCATTTTTTCATGTAAAGCTGAGGTCACTTGGATCAGGCTGGCTGGGTTTGAACATGCCATTTTTAGTGCTCAAGCGAAACTTCTGTGGGTTAGGTGTCCAGTTTCAATGAGAGCCCAGTATTAAGCTTTTCAAAAGGGTGAACCTGGTGACTGTGTCAGGGTCATGTCCAAAACCCCAAGGGTGCTCCTGGGGACGATCAGCTTGCCTTTGCTGGAGGCTCCAACTTACACACTCATCAGCCACAGAGACTCATGTGGCTTAAAGGGGTCCTGAGACTGTAGGGCTCCCAAGAGCAGGTCACAGCTTGTCAAGCAGCTTCCAGCACAGTCTGTTGCCTTGGGGCCTGCTCAGAGGGTGCTGGTCTGTGGGTTCACTGATGCAAAGGGACCAAGTAGGGTGCCCAAGGCAGGCAATACTGACTCCGACACCCAACGATTCCAAGAAGGTGCCAGGCCTCCTTTCTGGGGAGTGGTGGATGGATAAAGGGGAAGTAGCAGATTTTCCTAGACTGTTGGAGAGACTGAGCGTTGTGAATCTGACCACATGGTCCCAAGTCCCTGAATTTGGTCAGGGTTTATCAGTCACCCTGCCACTAAAATAGGTGCCAGCCATTCATTCCTGTACTTTATCAAGTGCTCAGGTATTGGGGTTACAGCAGGGGAGACAGGATGATGTGACTGGGGTGTGTGGGGAAAGGATGGAGGTGCTCCTTTAAAAGTGATACCATTGAGCAGAGCCCTGAAGGAGGCCATGGGGGAGGAAACAGCAGGTGCAAAGGCCCTGAGGGAGGGAAGGACTTGGACAGGTGGGAGGTACCAAGAGGAGGCCAGCTTGATGGCCTCATGGGTCTGTTCGCTCTGAGGGTGGAATGAGATGTGGACGTCAGCCTTTGCAAACTATGGGGCTCTGAACCGCTTGGGAAGACTGGCTCGCTAGATCTCCCAGGGCTGGGTGCAGCCCGGGATTCCACCAGCAGCTACGGGAGAGCCTCAGGAAACAACACAGACATACCTCGAATTATTGCACTTCGCTTTATTGTGTTTCACAGATTTTTTTTTTTTTTTTAGCAAATTGAAGGTGAGACCCTCCCCCAGCCAAAGGATTCTGACTTTCTTTATGCAGTACTCGCTTTATTGCGGTGGTCTGGAACTGAACGCACAGTATCTTCAAGGTATGCCTGCATTGAGCATGCGCATCCAGACCTGCAGCCAGGGAGAGGCCAAGAGGAGGGAGGCAGGGGTGGGGGTGGGGAGAACATGGAGAAACCGCAGGTGAGGCCACTGTGCTGGGCTGTGGGAGTCTCAGTCTCCATTTCTCAGCACTGAAGTTTTTCCACGAACACTCAAGTCCATACTATTCCCATCACTCAGCCCCTGGGGTCAACAAGTAAGCGGGGTGACGTTTCTGTATCTTTCTGAAGTTCTCATTCTGCTCTGAAGCTGGAGGGTGGGGGCAAGTCCCTGACGTGCGTTCCTGGATCCTGTTGCTGGGGCAGGTCAGTGGGGGCAAGTTGGCAAGGAGAGGAGGGTCTGTGCCTTTCCGGGGGCTCTAGGTGGTTCTACCGCAAGCATCTTTGCTGAGGGCATTTTTGGCACATAACTAATTGGCCATAAGGCAATTTCACCATGAACAATAAAATAATAAAAAGGAAAAGGGACATTAGAAAGCACATAACAGAATGTGAAAAATTAGTAACAAAAAATTTTAAAGAAATTTTGCAAAAAGACTTTGAAGTCCTTTGTTCATAGCGATACATTCTTTTTGCTTGTTGATTCGTATTCTTGTTCAGCATTGTGCTTTTTTTCTTTTCCACTAAAATGTCTTTCTTTGTTAAGAGAGGTATCAGTTTGCAGCTGAGGAACCAACACTGAATGCTCTGGAGATGGTTGTGAATTAGCTGCAGCCCTTTCATAGTCGCCACAGCTCGGTACGATTTGGGGATTTGATGGGTGGGAGAGAGACCGTGGTCACCGAAGGATTTGCAAACGTTTGATACGTGATCGTGTTCTAGTATTGTGTGCAACCTGGCTTTGTGTGTAACATCGCAGTCTGGCTTTCTGCGTGGTCGCTGTCATCCAGTGTTTTAAGGCCACCACAGCTGCTTGTCACCGTCCGGACCATTGTGAGGACTGAGAGATGTGTGATCTGAACATGGGAGTGCCGTGAGAACGGAGTCAGTGGGGAGACGAAACCAAACTGACAAAATACGTGAAGTCTGCCGAGTGTAAGCCGAACTGTCAACCACTGTTTTATTTTACAGCAAAACTGCCCTAGGGCCGGTTAGTTCTGGGGTTAAATGTTTACAGTGAACACTCCTGTGGCAAACGTGCTTGAGACGGACATGTATGCGGTGAAACTGGGGACACGTGCCAGGCCTCCTACCTGGTGGCAGGCCCCCAGAGGCCAGCGCCTCCCCATCTCTGGCTCCAGGACTGAGTTCGCTTCCTGGCTCCTCCGGCACTGGCTCGCCCCTCACAGGGTCGCCAGGGTTGCTTCTGACCTGGCTTGGGCTGCGGGTGAAAAAGCAGCAATGACTGCTTGTCATTGCTCTGAGCTTCCAGCTCTGTCTAGAGCACAGTGAGTAAGGACCTCGGGCACAGTCTTGCCCTTGGACTAGACCAGTGGTTACCCAAGACCCTGAGCAAAAGCCACCAGCTCAGCTGCACTCAGATGTCTGCTTTCGCCTGGCCCCTTGGCTCCCAGTGGAACCCCTCCAGGAGCCCTCGCCTTGTTCCCCACACTGTCCCCACCCTCCAAGTCCACCCAGGACTCACCAGGTCACCTCCTTCCATCCCCCCCAGCTTCAACACCTGCCTCGTTCGGTCATTTTTCTCCCATAATTGCATTCACTGGCCACTCAGAGGCCCCAAAACAATCATTCCTACTCCTGTCCCAGCCCCTGATATGCCTGTTCGGAGCGGGGCCCCTTCCCCTGGGTGGGCAGAAGGCTGACGCAGAAGTGCAGATGGGCAGGCTCACTAGTGTCCACATGCTGTCGGCTACATGTGCCGTGCTGCCCGGCGCACTCTGGCTGGGAACCACAGCAGCTGGGCTGCTCTCCAGTTTGGAGCAGAGTCCAAGACCTCGGCCAGAGCTCCTGCTTCTGTGTCTCCACAGCATGAGCTTGGGGACAGACAGGGCAGCCATCAGTCAGGATGAGAGCACAGGCCAGACACGGAAACCCGAAACCCTACCCAAAGAGCTGGCTCTGACTCCATCAGCTCCTTGTAGGAGCTGAGCAGGTCCGAAGGTGCCAGATAATGCAAGATTTCCAAACACTTCCTGTTTCAGGAGAATTCTTATCAAACAAAATACTAGAAGGACCCAATAGCTAGCAGATACACTGCTGGTTGAAGTGGAGGGTGCAGGGAGGGCTGGAGTCCCCTCTTGTCCATCATGTGGACCCCACTGTCCCCCTCACTTGACATTCCCCATCCCTGGCCCTCCTCCTATCCACGGGTTTACACCCTCCATGCCCTCTTCAAGAATTCGTCCAGCTGAGATCTGAGACCCTTCCACCCCAGCATTCCCCACTTAGGCCTCGCACAAGCATCAGGGGCCGATGCAGGCCCCCAAAAGCAAAGAACTGGACCCCAGCCCAGCTAAAAGCGGTGTGGCAAGCTAAGGACGTGGTTCCCACATGACCGTACTGAGGAGACAAGAATCCATGAAGGTGAGCCAGAGGCCACCACCATTTTGCAGAAGAATAACATTTATTGAGAATGGCTCATTACAAACAAAATATATGTATAAAATCTCTGCAATGCAAAAGATTCTTTTTGTCCCCATGTGGCTGGAGAGAACAAAGCCAACTGTCCACTGCGGCTGTGGACAGGGGTCACGGGCGCCATGTTCTGTAGGCAGCAGTTCCTAACGGGGCCATTCCTCGGTCCCGTTTTCATGATTTCTCCATTGCACAGGACAGTGTGGGTTGTGTCCCGCCCCCTCAACCCTCTCCAGGAAGACAGCACCATCTCAGGGGCAGGCAGCTTTCCTGTTGGCCTTCCAGACAGTTGCCCCCTAACCTGTGGCTCGCCCTGAGAAGCCATCCTCCAAGCCCAGGGACAGAGTGTTTCCACACGTTGCGTGACAGATGGCAGTGCTGTGACCACTCTCCACGGAGTTCGCGCTCCCTGACAGCTTGCACACGGGGCCTCACTTTCAGCCACCCTGAGAGCTCCATTTCCCATTTCCCGTGATACCTGTCCTCCCCACAGTTTCACCCAGACCCCTCTGGAGTCTGCCCCAACCCCACGGCTATCACACATGGTACTGCTGGGTACCAGAGCTCACTGGGGTGTGGGGCCACACCGCATTAAGGCAAGAGACAGACCAGTGTGAAGGCAGCACTAGCCTTGAAACCAGGGTGGCTGCCCAGCTGCAGCGCCTCCCTCCCAGCCATGGCTGCATCTGGTGTTGAGGAGCAATGCAGCTGGTGGTCTGATGGCCTTTGCAGGCAGAGGCCACCTCTGCCCCAGGGCTGCTATGGAGGGGAGGGGACAGCTATGGGGGTAGGGGGGGCAGGGGCAGCAGCTGCCACCACACCATGCCACGGGCACTGGAAGACCAAGACACAGGGGCACAGGAGCAGATAGGTTGTTGGGACCCCTCTGCCAGGGGCAGCCCCTGATGGGTGGGTGGGTGTTCCCAGCCCCTCTGGGAATGATCCACTTCCCTTATTTTTTTAGGTGCAGACCTGGGTTCGAGACCCAACTCCACCAGACTCCTGGGCAAACTCCCCCAGACTGGGCGGGACTCTGTGAGGTGAGGGCCCTGGCACTGAGCCCACCAGCTGGGAGTCCTCTGCTCTTTGTAAGGTAACTTTAACTCGCCTGTCTGCCCCATGAAGAGAGGTGTCAGCAGTTCCAGAGTACCTGCAATCTCACTATTATTATCTGGAGGGTGACTCTCTCCCCAAAAGTGAAAACTTAAATCTCAAAAAACCAACCCTCGCCCAAAAAAAGAGAAAAAGAAGGCAACACTCCCAGTGCATGCTCCACGCCGTGCTGTGTGGCCCGGGCAGGTGCCACCCTTCTCCATCCAGAAAGAAGAGACCCAACACTCTGTGCAAGGTTCTGGCATGAACACTGGGGTAGGGGGAAGCCACAGGCCGCCCCTGACCATTGCTTGAGGAGCACAGGCCCTGCGCCCCAGCCCTGCAAGATTTGGGCTCCCTGTGCTCAGATGGGCCCCACTGTGGGACTTAGGTGAGTGTCGGGAGCCTCCTGGTCAGGGGCGGGCGGGGGGATCTTTGGGGCCCAGCAGCTGTCTCTGGCCCTCTGGGTCAGGCTTCCCTGAGCACGGCCAGCACTGTGGGCCAGCAAAAGCAGGCTCCTGCCCAACACACAACCTGTGGAGCTGGAGTCCCAGGAGGGCTGCGGTGCCCCAGAGTCCTTTCTGCCTGAGGTCCAGCCCTCCGCAGGAGCCACAGGCCTCGCAACCAGCCGCGGGGACTTGGGGGCCCTGCAGCACTCCTAGGGAGAAGGGTGAGGACAGCTCGCCGTGCAGCCGGGGTCGGCTAGTCTCCAAACACACAGATGCTGCCCTGACAAGTAACATCTCTCGCCAGGGCTCGGTCCCCAGGTCTGTGGGGCAATGGGCCCAGGCATCAAGGGAACTCTTGAGGCTGGGTGGCCCCCTGGACTCAGCTGGGGTCAGGCTGAGGGTCCTGGGGTAGCTCTGCCCAGGAGCTCTGGGGACGTTTCCAGCAACCAGCGGTGCAAGGGTTGGTGGCCTGATGGCACTCACTGCTGGCGGGTGAGTCTGATGTGCTGCGGCCCCCCAGAGCTCCCTGGGCTTTTGTGACACGGGCTGAGGCCGAAGCTGTGCATCCAAGCCCCAGCTGCCCTGGGCCTGGGGCAGGGCCGCCTGAGTGGGCCAGGCCAGGGCAGGGCAGGGCGGGGTCTGAGGGCCTGGACACGCCAGGCTCCCACTGTCAGCTGTCCAGGTAGACGAAGAGGATGTCCTCGTCCGTGCCATAGCTGGTCCTGGCCTCCTCGAAGTTGCTGATGCTGGTGCTGCACATCCCTGCGGGGCAGCGGGAGAGCGCTGCCTCACCGGCACCCGGGGAGGACACGTCCCGCCGCCTCGCCACCCCTCGCCACACAAGCCTTCCACCCCCGGAAGCCCTGCTCGCCTGCTGTGGCCTCTGTTAGCTTGGTCCTGCCCCACCCCAGTCAGCGGATGAAGCAAGTGAGGCCCAGGGAAGGGAGGAAACGTGCTCGAGGCCACGTGGGGCAGGTCTGTGTGAGTCAAGGCAGCCCTTCCCTCTGCCCAGGGCAGTGGGGAGCCCTGTGTGGGCCCCAGAAGGGGGTGGGGCCAGGCAGGCTTTCCGATGGGCATGCTGACCGTCCTGTGAGCAGGTCTACGGGTGCCACACAGTCGGGGAGGGGAAGGAAGCTGTAGTCTAACAGCATGAGACAGTGGGTGGGGTCCTGGACGGTGGTGAGTGGCTGGCAGTGTGGGACAGATGGCCAGGCCTGGTAATGACCTGGGTGTGGACGCCAGCATGGCCTGAGAGTGGTGGCTGGCTTGCTGCATGGCCAGAGGGATGGCACAGGTGACAGGGGTCCAGGGGGAACAGGGTCTTTGGGGAGAAGGCAGTGAGGGAGGCCCTGGCCCTACCAGGGTGAGTGGGAAGGAGCTGGGGGGTCCGGGGGTCCCTGCGCTCCGCTCCCACCCCCCACACTCACGGTCGGCATACGCCGGGTTGTTGTAGAAGATGGAGCCAGTGGCCCGGTTGTAGCCACGCAGCACGATGAAGTGGCCCTGGTAGTCGGGGGTGCGGCAGAAGCAGCGGTGGCCGCGGGGGGCAAAGCAGCAGTACTTGGTGGGGCTGGAGCAGAGGTCACAGTGCAGCACCCCCGAGTTCACCAACACGATGGCCACGTGGCCCTGTGCCAGGTGCGCCTGGATGTCCTGCACGCTCACTGTGCTGTGGGTGGGAGGGGGGTCAGCCAGGGCCCCGGGCCCAGCCCCCATCTCCCATCCCTGCCGGGCCCATTCCGCCATGTGCCACACAGTTTGGGGACATGGCTGCTCTTCCCTCTGCCCTGGGCTCCTTGCAAGTGGGAATGTCCTGCTTTGTTGCTGTGGCCCAGGCTCAGTCCAAGGCCAAGCACAGAACCAGTGCGTGGGGGGGGGGGGGCAGGCAGGGGCTCTGAGTGCGATCAGGAACAAGCTGGCCCTATCAGCCCCTGCACAGGGTGGCAGGAGGTCGGGCCCAGACAAGCCCCCACCGGGGCTGGTGGAGCAGCATGTAGAACCCGACCTCCTAGAGGGTAAGTGAATTGTTTGTCAGGTGCCTCCATTGGTCCTTTACCCTGAATCATGTGTGGTTTACACTAGAAACAGTTAGTCCAATTTAATTCCCCAAATCTGGCCAGGCATGGCTTTGCCAGTGTCAAAGTCAAAGACTTCCCTGCAAGGGCCATTTTTCTCTTTTTCCTTAAGGCTCCTCGGTGGCAGAAGTGGGTGCCCAGGAAGGGCTGGTCAGCAGCACTGCCAGGGGAACCCCAGGCCAGCAGAGCCAGCTGCCTCGTGGGGTACCCCCCACAAGGCAGAACCCAGAAGGGGAGAAGAGGCCGGGGGTGGGTCCCCTAGGCTGGGGGCTCCGCCTTCTGCACCGGCCCTCCTTCCTTTGCACTCTCCAGGGGAGCGGCGGCCTGGCCCAGCTCCAGCCCATGGCCAAGTCACGTGGCAGTTGGGTTTGTTGTCTCAGTCCTGAGAGCTTGTCATTTTCCCATTTGGTCTTTGAAACAAAATACCTGGCTGAATTCCCAGCAGTAGGAACAGGAGTGGGATCTTAGCTACGAGAAAAAGCAGGGGCTGGGCTGGAAGGAGAGGCAGCGGGCTGCATGAGACAACAGCGTGGAAGTGGTGGGTTCGGATCATGGCCTGGCCAAGTTGCTGGGGGTGGGGGGCGTCCTGTGGGCAGCTCACACCGTTTTTCCCACCTTCGGTTTCCCCCCTGAGTGTGGACAGCACTGACTTCCCACTCAACAAGACAGCAGCTGCCAAGTGCCGCTAAGTAAGCGTTTGCTGCCTTTCCTTCCAACACGGGCTCCTGCGGCCTAAGGATGCGTGGAGACTTCCCCGTTTCCAAATCACCCACAGTGTGGCTGCATTACGTTAACAATGAAAACAGAAATCCGGAAAGAGCAGGGAGAGCTGAGAAGCGTGGTCGAGGAGAGTCCGGCCGGGACAGGAGTCGTCGGGCCTGAGCACGGTGCCCACAGTGAGCCCAGGGAAGAGTCGCTCACAGCTGGGCAAGTCACCCCCAGGGTCTGCCCCCCAGACCGATAAGAAGGTAAGAGCCATGTCAGGTCACAGAGACCGTGGGGCGATCTGGGAGCCAGGCCCCCCTAGACAGCCAGGTGGTCCCCATCACCCTCCGTGACCATGCCGTCAAGTTCCCAGGCCGTTCCCCCTTCATCTGGGTTACTGTGTTCTGTCCCATGCCACCCAGAACTGGCTGGAGTCGGTCCTGCTCACCTGTACCTCCAGCCCCTGCTCAGGATCCACCTGTAGCCCCATAGGTCCCCTTGTTATGGACGAAAAACCCAAGGCTCAGGGGGACGGCAGTGCCCACTGCCACCTGGGCAGGGAACCCCACCTCTTCCTGACTCCCAAGGCCCTGGCCCTTTTCACCCTCCATCATGAGGCTGCCCCCACTGCAAGTCGATGGGTGAGCAAGTACCCAAGGAAGGGTGGTGGGGGGCTCACCATTTCTCCACCAGCACCTTGCAGGCCTTGGCTTGTGCAAACAGCTGGTTCACCCGAGTCTCCTCTGTGTCAAAGTGCTTCCTGTAGAAGGACTGAAGAGAAAAGGGCAGGCTGCCGTCCCCCGTTTGGATGAAACCCTGTGTGGGGGCAGAAGTGGCAGGACGTGGAGGAGCCCAGCCCACTGGGGGAGACAGCACAGGCAGCACGTGGGCAGAAAGCTTTCTGTCCCGAGCCGACAGGGTGGCTGGCCGCAGTGTGCAGGGCCCTGCACAGGCAGGAAGAGGATGCTCAGGAGATGCGTGGGCAGCCAGGCTTGGACTGGCTCCCTCGGGAAGGTCGGTCAGCCCCAGGCTTGTGCTCCTCATGGGTGTGAGTGAAAACGACCGCTCAGCCACCACTCGGAGTAGCCACACAGGGTCCGAGGAGTGCACTGTGTTTGGTACAGAGGTATCAAGGGGGCCAGAGCCCCCATGGGGCCGTCACAAGTGACCCTGCCCTTGGGCCCCTTGCTCTGCCTTGCAGCCACGGCAGAAACCAGGTGCAAGGGCCTTCTTTCTGGCTGGGGAGGTTCAGGGGACCATCAGGCTGACTGGCCACCACACAACCACCCTCTTGCCCAAATGGCCAGGAGCGACTCTGCTCCACCAAGTTTTAGAGCTTGGGCTGAGGGCTGCCTCAGGGGCAGGCCACAGCGGCTCCAGCTGTGCAGGAAGGGGAGAGAAATGCACTGGTTATCCACCAGCTGATGTCGGCATTCTTTTTTAAAAGGAAAAAAAAAAGAGGTATTGGGGTTTTATTCCAGAATACCAACAACCTAGCCTGCAGCCAGCTATTCCCGCGAGGAGGGAGAAAATGGGCAAAGGACGGCTGGATGAGGTCGAGTGCTGTGCTCCTCGGCCCTGCGCCCCACCTGGCGCGGAGGGACACAGGGAAGGGCGTGGGAGGCAGCCTGAGATGCTCCTCTGCACGCCCACACGTGCTGCCGCGGGCACCTGGCAGGGGCTCTGGGGTGGGAGTGCTGGGAGGAACCAGCTCGCTGCTCAGGTCCTTTGGGTGGGTGCAATGGGAAGGTCACCCAGACTGACTGGCTCCTGCCCACAGCACATCTGCTGCTGCCCCCTGGTCTCTGCCCACCTGTGTGCCCACTCAAGTGTGCAAGCCTTGACCGCACCCTCTTCCAGCTACTGAACCCGGCAAAAGCCCGGTGGCCGGCCACCCACCTGGTTTTTGTAGCCCTTGTCCACACCCAGGGTCTGGGTGCAGAAGCGGTGCCTCACGCCGAAGTGGCGCATCAGGTAGGCCAGGTCGATGGTCCAGATGCTCCTGGTCAGCCGCAGCTCCTGCAGGGCGCTTTCAAACTCCCCGTCGTCCAGCTGGCCCAGGTACCTGGGGGTGGACAGGCCACTGAGGGCTGCTTGCCCCCGAAGGGAAGCTGGTTTGGGTCACACTCCACCTGCGGGCCCATGAGCCACTGGCAGAGCCCCCATTCCACAGGAGGTTCTGTCCTTTGTCATGAAACCTTCCGTCCTGCCCACACACTGCCCGGGCACAACCTGAAGCTGCCTGGGCGCCGTGCTGTCATCCCTGCAGTCAAGGGCCCAGATTCCGCATCTCACATCTCTTGTGGGCATGTGACCTTGCGCAAGTCACCACCCTCTCTGGCCTCACCAGCTTCATCTCTAAGATGAGGTGCTTGTACCACATCAGTGGTTTTCTAAGTTTTAGGTAGAGAATTCTTTTGTTGAACCCTGTCTTGCCTGGAATTCCAGGATGTACGGTGGGTAAGGGAGAAGCTGCTCCCAGGTTCCAGGCAGGCAGCCACCTGAAAACTCCTCCCATAAGGTGATGGCCGCGGTCCTCCAGGCTCTGAGGGTCAAAGTTCCAGTGATGTTCATGCAGCCTAAACTAAGTGGCTGCCTCCCCAGTGACCCAGTCTCCCAGGAGCCTGAGGCCCAGCCATGGGGTCACTCTGTGGGCCAGGCCTGGGCACCAAGGACTTCCCTGGCCATCCCCAGGGTCCCAGGCATTCCCAGAGGGGGCCCCTGGAAGACCTGGTCCTATCCCCTTTGCTTTTGCAGATGGCAGTGAGCCTCGATGGAAGCTGGGCCTCCCACAAGCCCCGACGTGAATGATGAATCCCACCCAGGTCTCTCCCTGTGTCTCCCCACAGCCAGAGCACGTGGTGTGGATGGTGAGGACCTCGACCCGCCCACTCACCGCAGCACCATCCTGGAGCAGGCCAGGCCGCAGTCCCAGTGGTAGAGCTGCTGGATGACGGGCACGGGCAGCTGCACGAAGTCCCCTGCGTGGAAACACGGGACAGTCACAGATCCTTGGCGCAGTGCCTGCCACTGTGGCCCCCACCGGAACCCCTGGCACTGGCCCCCGCCCAGATGTGCAGGGGCCTTTCTTATTGCCAGGAAAGGCTCCATTCTCCTTCCAACAGTGATAACCTCCCCAGGCCCCAGTCAGAGCAGGTCAGCTGCACACAGAGCCCTCCTCCAGTGGTTGGTCTGCACGCCTCTTAGGACAGTGCCACCATGGCTGCCCCCCAGCAGCCTCTGCCGCCTCACCTGCACCTGTCCTCGCCAGACTGCCCTGCAGGCAGGGCTTCCCTGTCATGCGGCTCCCTCCGCCTGGACTCTCCTGGCCTCCCAGGTGCCCGAGCTACCTCCTCTTGCTTCTTCATGATGCTACATCTGTCCACCCAGCCCCGCCCCTGCCCCCATGTGCGCTCATCGCCCCACCGGCCTCTCTCGCTCAGGGCCCTCTTCTTCGATGGGAGCTCGGAGGAGGCAGCGACAAGGCCAGCACATAAAAGGCGCAGAGCAGGTATTCGTGTCTGGATTCACGAGGTCCCGGAGGTTAGTCTGACTTCAAAGCCCCCAAGGACACCAAGGTATGAAGCCCATGGTTAAGAGCAGGGGACGGCGATGTACGCTGTGTATGTGGATGCTACCCTGGGCGGCCTCTCAGCATGTCCTTGCCAAGCAGTGAGGTGGAGCAGAGAGGGCCTGACCTAGGCATTCCTGCTCGGGCTCAGCCACTGGCTGGCTGTGGACTGAGAAACAGACTTCCTCTTGCTGGGCTGGGTCTGGCCATCTCTAAAGTGGGGGACTTTGGTCTGATCCAGTCATTCAATCAACAAATATTTCCCAAGCGCCTAGCAAGTGCCCGGCACGTGTACTACAGACACGGCGGCTGGTGCCAGGCCCCGTCCTGGTGGACAGCACAGGCGAGCACGTGAAAGAGAAGAGCACAGGGTGAGGCCAGGAGAGTGGTGGGGGCACGACCCCGAGAGCACAGCGTCAACAAGCACAGGGCCTCTCGGGGACAGCCTGTGTGGAAGCTCTGAGGCGGGGGCGAGCTGGCACCAGCCCACAGAACTCTCGCATTCTGGCGTTCCATCAGTCTGGACCAAGTTCAGAGTCTAACGAGCCAGGAGGGACCTCCCTCCAGCTGTCACCACCGCTCTCGGCTCATTGGTGACACCCGTTCCACACACGAAAACCCAGCCCACCTTGTATCCTCATCTCAGGGGTCTTTCTGGGACCCAAGAGCAGCCTGTGCAGAGCTGCCCCAGCGACCTGCCTGCCGTGCCAGCCCTGGCTCCTGTGGCAAGCACCAATCAGGAGGGCCACTCACTAGCCCCAGGGTCTGTACTGCCGTCGGACCTGCTGGCCTTGTCTGGGCAGTTCCTTGCCTGGAGTGGGTTTGAAGCTCCTACTCTGCGTCTCAATCCTCCCCAGCACAGGCGCCACCCCTTCCGGGGCCTTCCCTGAGCACAGACAGGCCGCATTCTCTCCTTTCTCTGGAATCCCACCAGACCCGAATTCACACTCTACCTCACACAGGGAAGACCATTGTGTGGAGTTTGTCTGCGTCTTTCTGTGCTGTTGCACATTCCCAGGTGGCAGGGTCACGTGACTGCTCCTTTGCTGCATTGCATTGGCCTTTCTCACCCAACTCCCCTTCTCCAAGGGCGTGCAGCAGCATGGAAGGCAGGGTGGCATGGGCAAGTGCAGGCCACCTGCAGGCTGAGCGACCTCAAGGTGCTGGACCTATCTGTGCCTGCTTCCTCCTCTGTGACATGCACCATCACAGAGGCCAGCTTGCAAAGTGCCATGAGCGCTCAAGGCAGGAATGTGTGTACAGCCCCTTTTGGGTGCTGGCGCAAACCCTGCCCTCCATCCAGCTTGGTGGGACCTGCCACACTGAGTCCAGGGTGGGCTGAGGCTTTGTTCTCTCCTTCCCCTGACCCCAGGTACCTTTGACCCTTCATTCAAGGCCTTTGCATGTTCTCTTCTTCCTACTGTGATGGATTCAGTCCTGAGGGCCTCATCCTGTCTGACTCCCACCTGTCCTCTGCCCTAAATTCCACTCCCAGATCCTCTCCTGTCTCTGTACACAGAAGCCAGGGGGATCTCATCCATAGCTTCCCATTACTCTTAAATAAAGTTCTCACCCCTTACCATGGTCTGTAGGGCCCTGCCCAGCCTGAGCCCCACCAGCTTCACCTTGGCCCTTACCCCTCACTCACCCTGTTCTTGTTACCCTGGAAACCCAGCAAGCTTCATGCCACCCCAGGACCTTTGCACATGTAGCTCCCTCTATCTGAAACTCTTCCCCTTGCTGTTCTTAAGACTGCCCCTTACTGTCATTCAGATGCCAGCTCAAAGTCCCCTCCTCTGACTATGCCTTTGGGGGAAGAGATCACTCCTTTGCCACTTCCTGTTTGTTTCTCTTCACAGTACTTAGCAAAAGTAACATAATAATAATAATAATAATAAAGCTATTCTGTCTCCCCACTAGACTGTAAGCTTCCTGAAGACAGAGAATTTGCTGACTTGTTCACTGTTACTCCCAGTGCCTGGTGTCTGGTGCTTAGTAGCAACTCAATAAACATTTTTTGGAAGAAAGGAGCACATTAAGTGCCTACTGTGTGCTAGGCTCACAGTGACTAAGACCCAGGCCCTGCCCTCCCAAGATTCATATTCTGAGATCATTCCCCCCAGGTGGACTGAGTGGAAGGAGGGCTCTGTACAGGGTGTTGTCCCCTCATGGTGGCATGCCTCCCTTGTCAAAAACTCACTGGGGCCATAAACTGCCTTTTGTTTTTCTTTACATGGGCTGCTTACTCCCCAGACTTTGCTCTTGGATATCCCTTAGTCTGGAATACCATCTCCTTTCTCTGAATGTCCAAATGCTCTGGCCCTCCTCCCTCTCTGAGCTCCTCAATATGCAGTGTTTGAGGTGGTCTGCCTTCCCCACTGGACAGGGGGAGAATCCCTCACTGGCAGGTGGGGACAAGGTGGCATTTACCCCCTCTTAGCCCTCAGCCCAGTGCAGGCCCTCAGACATGCTTGGTGAGTGAAAGGTGGTTTTCTCCAAAGGCCTTATCCCTTGAGATGCCCCGGGCCTGCCTGCCATTGCAATGCCCAGCACCCCCACTCTCAGGCTTCCAGACACAGCCCTCTGTGCATGGACCCCCCTCACTCTGTGGGCTGGACTCTGGTATCAACTGGCCGGGCCATCTTCGGCTGGGCTTTGAGTCTGTCTGTGCTTTCCCCTATGCCCAGCTGTAAATGTGTCACAGGACAACTGCTTTGAACTCTGCTGTCCTTTCTCTTCTTGCCCTGATCCTTGGAGTCCCTTAATCCCAAGGCCCCAAAGTGCCACACATCCCCAGTCTTGGCACCAGCAGGTCAGCCCCTAGGGACCAAGATACTCCTGCAGGGGATGATAAGGGTAGGCGAGGCCTTCCAAGCCCAAAGCCACTGCTAGTTGTTGATGCCTGCAGCAGAGGGGCTGTCCCACCTGAGAGCTAGGGTCTGCCTAGGAGGCCTTGGCTGGCTTCAGGTGGCAGCTGTCACCAAGGAAGGAAGGCAGCTCCCTGGCCCTGAATACTTAACGTCTCTCAGCCTCAGTCAGCTCATCCGCAAAAGTGAAAATAACAATGGTAACCTTCATACCAGGTTGTTAGGAGGATTCATGAGTCACTGCGTGTACACTACGTAGCACACTGCCTGCTCAGAGAAAGCTCCCTGTGAAGGTGAGCCATTACCCCACTGAAGTTCAGGAAAAGTACGTGCCTGGTGCAAGATCACAGAGTTGAGGGAGTCAGATGCAACCCCCAGGATAGCATCAGGCCCAACTCCTTGCTGCAGACACTAAGGTCACACTGATGCCTTAGTGGCAGGGTCCCACATGCTCTTGACCTCTCCACTTCAGAATTTTCTAGTACTAGCACTTTCTCATCAACCCTGTGCCTTAAATAGAGCAGAAGTCACTACTTCTCCCCTTCCCTTCTTAGAATCATGACACTGAATGTTGGTCTTGGTTTCTGCACCAAAGGAACGCAGAAGCGACAGAAGGAACCAGAGGGTGAAGAGCTGTACAAGACGAAACAGTCTGGGAGGCCAGAGGAAGTGCCCTGACACTGCTCTGTGCTCTCCACAGTTCCTTGTGCTTCTAGGCCTCAGTTCCCCCAGGGGTCAGCATTTCCCAAGGCAGCTCCAGCAGGATTTTTCGCTTTTAGAGAAGGTGGCGCCCCTGCCTCACAACCCGGGACCCTCCTACCATGACCTCTATTAGAGCTACTGAGGTCCCAGCCCTGGGAATGTCAGGGACACCCAACACACCAAGGCTGGGAGTTGGGAGGCCAAGGCGCCTGTGTTTCACCTGGCCAGGTTTTGCTCGAAGCTCTATAGCTCCTCCGGAGGCGGCGGTCGGCCCAAGGTCGCGCGGCCAGACCCTGCCCCGCGCTAGGGCGGGATCCCCCACGTTCCCCGGGATGAGGGCTGGGCCCTCAGGGTGGCACTAACCGGGCTCGAGCGGCGGCCCCGCTGCCTCCGCCTCCGTCCTCATGACCCGGGCGGCGCGGGGCGCCCATGGCCCCAGCCTGGCACCGGCTGCAGCTTCGGCTTCGACAGGGGCGGGAACGGGGCCGGTAAGTGTCGAGCTCCTCCGCCGCCACCTCTACCGCCACCTCGGTGGGGAGTACGGGAGACCGCTGCTGGACCGCCCCAAGCCCCGCCCCGGCCCTTCCAGGCCTCCTATCCCGGGACCCCGCCCCTTCCCTAGGCCCCGCCCCTTCCCTGGGCCTCCAAATAGCCCCCTCTTTTTGCCTTTCTATAGGGCCCAGGCTCCAGGTCTAGGCCCTCCCGGGCAACTCGCAGTCTCGGCTTCTGGTGACCCCACCCCTGTCCCAATCCTCGCGCTGACTCGTGGGTTCTTCGCCTCCGTTCCCCGGAAGCCCCGCCCCTCTCTCTGAGTCCCGCCCCGAAGCTTTGGGGTTTCGCGAACATTGGCTCCCCAGAGGCTCTACCCCTTCGCTACTCAGCTACGGCTCGGCCCCGCCTCCTTGTCAGCCTGAAGTCCAAGCCCTTCTCTGGTCTCAGGCACCCCAGGACTCCAGAAGATTTAAACCTACTCTGAATCCCTTCAGGGACGACCCCCTTCCCCAACTCTATACCTTACTTTCCCTATCCGTACAGTGAAATGCCTCGCCTTGCTCAGAGCGCCCCTTACCTGGAGGTGCCGGGTTCCAAAGGTGGGGTCCTAGCCTTCGGCCTCGCAGCCTGCTACCCCCGATCCGAGGGCTCAGGCCTCAGATCCCTGCCTTATGGTCAGCCCGTCCCTGCTGTGGGGTGCTTGGAAACGCGATCCCCCCTCTCCGCTTGCCGGCCTGAGGGTCCGTATTTCCGGCGGCACCCGGGTCCCGTTATCAGTCCTCTCTTCCGGGGCCGGAACGATCGCACCAAAGCCCACGTTTCCCACCCGGCGGGGTGATGAGTAAGCGGAGGTGAGACCGCGCTCACTACCAAGAAAAGGAAGGGGACGGGCTCTGCGCGCGGCATTTTGGGAACGCGTGGTACTCTGGGAGAACGGTGCCGCCATTCGCTTGTCTCACGCCCTCGCAGTAACTTGAGTTGCTGCCACTGCCGCCGCACAGGGAAGGAAGAGGAGGCCGGAGCCGGTGAGGAGAGGCCCAGGGCAGGGAAGGGTAGGCCGAGGCATTCGTAAGGGACCTGGGGCTGGAGAAGGACGCACTGCTGTGTAGCTCTGCAGGGCTCGGGGAGGGAGAAGAGCGGGAAACCCGGGCCACCCAAACCTCAGAGTCGCCTGACTAGCGCCTGGAAGTGAGTTCATTAGCTTTACCCCGAAGTACACGCTCTTCCCTTTCTATGTGTCTCCGGGCCAGTGCTTTTGGCAGTACGCAGGCCACTGAAATCCTTTCTGGCTGGCTGCCTCCATCCCCTGAATGCTACCTGGGGAAACCCTGTAAAACTTCCTTGCATCTTTGCCTCCATCCCCCTTTCAGGCATTAGCGTCCTCGTGCTTTCCACACTATTCCAGAAGTTTCATCAAGTTCTCCTGCTTCTAAACTGGTACATCCGTTTTCTAAGTGCTGTTGCCTTTCATTGGATCATTCCTTACAGTCTTGCAGTGGTTCCCCATCGTCTTCAGCAGAAAACTCGGATGTCTAAGACTTCTCATCAAGGAAGCCTGTCTTTCCCAACCTCATGTTTCCTTTCCTCCCTTGAACGCACACAGTGGGTCCCAACCTTCAGTCTTTGTTCTTTTTGGAATACAAAAAAAAATCCACCTATTTTTTATTCGGTCGCAGGGCATTTGCCCTGTGGTTTTGTTTTTCCTCCCAAGATAAGCATTTCCCACTTAGGGCATATTGTCACTTTGTGAACACTTGGATATTTTCTTTTTAGCCTTGATGGTGAAGTGGAGGGTCAAAGGGCATTGAAGAAGTTGAATTAAATGCACAACCTCTTCTGGATTTGCCTGGATCCATTGTTTATATCAGCAATAGTCAATACTCTATGTATGCCCAATATAGCCACATGTGGCAGTTGAGCACTTGAAATTCCGTGTCTAGTGTCACTGAGGGACTGAAGTTTTTAATTTTGTTTCACTTTTAATAGTTATGTATGGACAGTGGCTGCTGTGTTGGACAGCCCAGGTCTACATGGTATTGTCAACCCACAGTTGTCTCTCCAGAAGAGAGAGACAGAGGTACATGTATTACGATTCTCACTCCCCCTGACACACAAAATTGGTTATTTGATGAAGATAAAAGGACATATGGTACCAGAGAGGGAGATGGCATGTCAGTCCTTGAGGGAGGCATGGTGTCCGCCACATGCCTCCTCAGGCTCTGAAAGATGAACTGACCATTGTCTTTCTTACTGTAGAACTCTCTTCCTGCCAAGATGTCTATTGGTGTGCCGATTAAAGTTCTGCACGAAGCTGAAGGTCACATCGTGACGTGTGAGACGAACACCGGCGAGGTGTACCGCGGGAAGCTCATCGAGGCAGAAGACAACATGAACTGCCAGGTAGGTACCCTGCTCTGCACCTAATTTTGTGGGGGAACCTTGTGCCCCTGTCTTGGAGAACAGAAAGTGGTGATTGGAGGTCTTTCTGAGGTTGTTCTCACTGAACAGTTATTTAGGGAGCACCTGTTGCGTGCTGGGGACTGTTATAGGTGCAGGGATGTGAGCATGAGGAAGAGCCATTTGGAATGTTGGAATATTTAACTTGTCCTTAGTTTTCTTAATTCCATAACCATTTCCGCCCATATTTGGAGGACCTGTTTAAGAGATGTGGTACTACTTCCTTCGTTAGAATCCTTCAAGTTTGGGCCATTATCCATTTGTCTCCATGCATTTGCATAATACTTTGTAGTTAGTAGAATCTTCTCTTCACTTATTGTGTTTATTTGCCATTTTTCTTGGGGGCAGGGGCTGAGTCTCATTTGATTATAGGAACTGCCTTTTTAGGTGAGTGGGTTCGGTGCAAGTTTTATTATCCGTAAAATAGGAAGAATAAGATTAAAGGACTCATCTACTGAATGTTACCTGCTAATAAATGTTGGAGCAGCTTCCTGATGATGGTGTCCTTCCCTTGGCACTATTTTGCCTTTTGCTAAAATCACATGGATTTGTATGGCATTAAAAAGTATTGGCATACTTTTTCCTTTGTCCTTTAACCATCAGTTAAGAGCTGAGATTTTGTAATCAGATGTTGGTTTGAATCTTAAATGACCTCGGGTATGTTCATCATCTCAGTCTCTTCGTCTGTGAAATGGGGATGGTGCTGTTTCTGGTCCTGTGTGGTATAGATGCTGATACTGAAGAGCCTAGTGTGGGGCAGAAATGGCCTGGCTCTAGTACCTCCGCTGTAGTCGGTCACTGGCTGACTGGCCTGGGGAGAGTGGCCTCAGGGTGACTGCTGTGGTGGGTCCCAAAGGTGGCATCTGGAGGTTGTTGGCTCCCTACATTCCATCCAACCTGTGGTCCCTGTGAAGGACGGACTCAGCACAGGGGTAACACTCATGCCGCAGCGTCGTTCCCAAGGTCAGATGAGTTATGTGTGTGCCGCAGCCAGCCCAGCACCTTGTGCATTATAAACTCAACATAGAGTACCTGTTACTGTCTCCCAGGTGAGAAAACGGAAGGTCAAAAAAGTAAAGTGACTTACCTAAAGTCACACTGTGGGTCAGGTATCTATTCATTGCTTCCCAGGATCATTCCTTTTTTTGTGGTTTCTTTGTAGCTTTGAGCAGCATTGTTCCGCCGAGTGAGTTGACCAGCTGGCGCAGTTTCCTGGTGTCCAGGGAGATAGGCATCTGGTGACTGCAGGTTTGGGCTCTCTGCAGGTCCTGTGGCCTTGGCCGCCTTGGCCTTTGTGAGGTGCCACAAAGATCCAGCCCTCTGGGTTAAGGCATCCTTACTCATTTTCAGGTACTTTAGTTCGGTGAGTAGAATGCAAGACTGGGGGTGCGGTGTGTAGAGAATCTTGCTGTGTTTATTTAGCTATTTGGACAGCTTACTGAGCTTAGGGCCTCAGACTGCCCATCTGTAACTTGAGGGTGTCTGACCAGGGGCCCCGGGTGGCCTCTCAGAGGCAGCCAGTGTGTGGTAAAGCGCACAGACTCCATGGCAGACATACCTGAAATCGGGTTGCGGCCTGTCTCCTGGTGTGGCTTGGAGGGAGCTTTTGACCTCCCTCACCCTCTGTTCTTTCCTTTCTAAGTCAATAGTGAAAATAGGACCTCAGCCTAAAGAACATAGTTGCAGAATAAATAAGCAGATGCTTGTCAATCAATGGGGGCCAGCCACCTGCCTCCAGCCTGCATTAATCTTCTAGGGCTTCCATACAAAGTTCCACCGTGGGTGGCCTCAACCACACATGCACTCTCTCAGGGTTCTGGAGGCTAGAAGGCGAGATCGAGGCATACGGGGTTTGTTCTTCTGAGGGCCGTGAAAGAAGACTTGTAGATGGTCAGTTTATTCCTATGTCTTCAAATGGTCTTCTTTCTGTGTGTGCCTTATCTTAATCTGTTCTTGTAGTAACACAAGCCACTGTTTTAGGGCCCAGTTGCCTCTGTTAAAGATCCAGTTTCTAAATACAGGTATATTCTGAGATACTAACGGTTAAGACTTCTACATAAGAATTCGGGCGGGGGGCATAGTTCAGCCCATAACACTGCTGGTGCCAAGGTGCTAGTCTTCACTGAGCCCACCTAAATCTGCCACATCGAATAAAACCCAGCAGGCTGTGGCAGAGCCGACCCTGGCGGTGATGACCACTGAGCACAGTTCACTCACGGTCCTGGGAACCAGGGGGCCGATGGGGCCGACAGTGCCTGTGGGCCCCGGTTGGCAGCTTTGGGGATAAGAGCATCCCTCTCAGAACTTTTTCTGCTGGTTCTGTGCTAAGGGCAGCTGGAGTTTAGCATTTACCATTTGATGTTGGGTTTTAATAATATTTTCTACTGTAAAAACGGGGTGGGTCACACACCACAGAGATTGGGAAAACAAATGAGAGACTCTTACAACAGCCACAATTGGCATGGACTTTTCTCCCTCGGGGTGTGTTTTGGGTTTTTATTACTTAACTTTTACTTGTTATTACTTAACTTGAGGATTACAGAGGAAGTAATCCTTACTCTCTGTCCCTTTTCAAAAGGAGTTAGAGGTGGCTTACAAAAACTCATTGGTAGGATAAAAGTAACAGGTAGGTCAAGGTACAACTAAGCTCAACTGAACAAACGAAGCCAGGAGTAGTCAGTATCCAGAAACATAAACTTGAATCCCCGCACGATTAATAAAGGGATGTTCAGGTGTGAGAGTAGGACTTGCAGGCAAAGGGAAATGATCAGTTCTGAAGTGCACGGTGTCCTTGAGATAAATACCACTAGTGTGGTTTTCCCGGGGCACTCAGATACGGCAGACTTTTTTTCCGGGGACCTGGTGGAGGTGATGTTAGCTAGTGTGCCCAGCAATATTCCCCTACAAAATGGGCCTTCCTTTGGGGTTCCTTGGGTATTTGTAATGTCATCTGTAATAGCCCTTTTTTACGTTTGAAATTGTAATGTATCCATGTGTTAAACCCAGGATGAGGTCCCTGGGGTGGTGCCTGTGGGGCCAGAGGGTACAGACTCTTCTGTGCATCCGAGGCTTGTCTGGCTGGGAAGGCAGGGAGTCTCGCTCTCCCGTTCCCGCACCCCGCAGCTGCAAGGCGAGCGTAACCTGGCGGCCAGTGCCGCGGTATGTGGCGTCAGCTCTGGATGACAGTCCGGATGTCTACATGTGGCTGTGCAGAGTATCTGCTGAGGGCCCCATGTGCCAGGGGTAATAAGCAAGGCTCTGCTTCAGCTGACTTTTGTTTGTAGCAGAGATGGGGTCTGGTGAAGGAGTAAGCCTGTC